CTCCTAGTAGTAAGGCCAGGAGCGCCTCTAGTAGCGTCCTTGCTCCTGATAGCGATGCCTTTGTTACTAGTAGCGTTGCTCCTCTTAGCGATGCCCTTTGTTCCTCGTAGCTTCTTGCTCCTAGTAGTCAGGCAAGGAACGCCTCTAGTAACATCCTTGCTCCGAGTAGCGATGCCCTTTGTTCCTACTAGCTTCTTGCTCCTAGTAGTATGGCCAGATGCACCTCTAGTGGCGTCCTTGCTCCTAGTAGCGATGCCCTTTGTTACTAGTAGCTTCTTGCTCCTAGTAGTAAGGCCACGAGCTCCTCTAGTAGCGTCCTTGCTCCTAGTAGCGATGCCCTTTGTTACTAGTAGCTTCTTGCTCCTAGTAGTAAGGCCAGGAGCGCCTCTACTAGCGTCCTTGCTCCTAGTAGCGATGCCCTTTGTTCCTAGTAGCTTCTTGCTCCTAGTAGTAAGGCCAGGAGCGCCTCTAGTAGCGTCCTTGCTCCTAGTAGCGATGCTCTTTGTTCCTAGTAGCTTCCTGCTCCTAGTAGCGATGCCCTTTGTTCCTAGTAGCTTCTTGCTCCTAGTAGTATGGCCAGGAGCGCCTCTAGTAGCGTCCTTGCTCCTAGTAGCGATGCCCTTTGTTCCTAGTAGCCTAGTAGCTTCTTGCTCGTAGTCGTAAGGCCAGGAGTGCCTCTAGTAGCGTCCTTGCTCCTAGTAGAATGTGATCAGTGGTAAAGAACTACTCATTGGTTGGGGATCCCATGATACAGTCCAAACAATCTTTCACAGGACGTGGGCTTTTCTCAGTCAGTTCAGACGAGCCCCTCTAGATCCATTCCAAGGAAGCTGCATTAGGTTTGATAGTCTTGACCGTGCCTCGTCCTGCGCGTGGCAGATTTGGATGTGTCCACTGGGCACCCTGCGCAAAGAGGAGCTTGCTGACCATTCGGTACCTGAGTCAGTGGCCCCACGCCTGGTGGAACTTGAACATCAAAATGATTTAAAGACCTACTGAGAGTACCGTGTTATAGACTTATGGAGATTCAAAGTGATTCAACAATCGAATCTCTCAACAGCGATGCTGTGGGAACCACAACTCCGGTTGTCCACTTTGTTGCGACGACACGGTGGCTGTGAACAGCGGCCTTGAGGAGCTGCGGAGCGATGCGTCAGGACGAAATCCTGGCGCCACAGACGTGACCGACGAGGCTCCTGGCCTTACTACTAGTAACAAGGTTCGCTACGAACGGGGCTCCTGGCATCGCTACTGGGAGCAAGGACGCTACTAGGAGCAAAGGGCATTTCTACTGCTTCCGCTCGATCCTTGACCTACTGCTTCCGCTCGATCCTTGACCTTGATCCCTGGAGCGAACCTGCCAACTGTCAGGCGCAGCATCGAAGGTCGTCCGCTCAATGCACTTCCCGTTGACGGTGTCAAAGAGGGAGACATCCTCGCCCTTGATGTGAATGCCTCACATTTGTTTCTCTCCAAGAAACGGACGACGCTTCATCATCTGTGCCGCAGAAAGATGAAAAAGGCAAAGAACACCTTTCACTTCTTAAGTCGGCTATGAATAGCTGGTCTAACTTCAAACGAGCCGAGTATATAGTTATATATAGAAAAGGGGCGTCAAGTGCCAGAGAAATGAGCAAAGTGCCAAATGCCCCCAACTTTCAGGCAAAGTGGGCATCTCGCTGTCATGAGCTCCTGACACGTCTCTTTGTCATCCACCAAAGTCACAGTGAAGTCCACACTGGACCTCGAGCACGCTATGCGTGTTTCATTGCGCTTCAGGCCGCTGTGTTAAACAGCCCAGACATCCTCTCAAGCTTACATGTTTCCATCCCCGTCCTTCTTTTACAAACTTTACAGTATCTTTTGGATATAATTCTTCTCATTCGGCATGGAACACAAGGCCGGGCTTTGTTTGGGTGGTGCGTTTGGAATAATCTGTTCAAACAAACGCGGACGGGATGGACAAACAATTCAGCTCGATTTCCCAAGAGTGGTTACCACACGATATCACTGGATTCTGAAATGAGCCTCCCTACTTCTGGGCTGCTTGCTCCATGCACAGGCCAAGAAACCACAGGAGGCAAATCAAAGTACTACCAGCTTCACATCCTGCACAACAATACACAACCAATGCGAACCCAATGGCATTCACTCCGCCCAAAACCTCCATTCTTCCAAAACCCACTGGGCGTCCACTACGCTGAAAAAGCCACTGGAACGGCAGGCCTTACAGCGATCCGTGGCGATCCGTGGCGATCCGTGGCGGATCGAAGACCGCGGCCCAGTACACTGGGCACCGGGCATTCCATCGTGTAGTTGCTTCGACCTCGGACACCCTCTAGACCATCCCAACTCGGACACAGGAGGATTCGCATGTCCTCCAAACTGTCGAAGTTTCGAAGGCAAGGAGGATTCGCATGTCATGTAGCCCTCTTAGTGAGCATACCAACCACACCACGTCCCCATGCCAACCACAACTTCAAGTCTGGCATTCCGCTGAGCATTCAGACACCGCAGCGGAATGCAACACACAGCTGCGGCCTCAGAACCCCCGCCCAGGCTTTCAGCAAAGTGGATTTGCTCACGCAGGCCGCGTCTCAGATGGAAGACTTTCTTTTGGAAGTTTGGACGCCTGGACTCTAATGGGCGCGCTACATTTGGCGCCTCTTGCACTCTTCCCAGGTAATCCGCAAGCTCTGCATCTAAGCTCCGCATGTAACAACGAGCGCAACAGGGGGATTGTTACAACAACAGGTGGATTGGCTTCCTTGCTACTAGTAGCTTCTTTTCCTAGTAGCATCCTTGTTACTAGCAGTATGGCCAGGAGCCCCTAGTAGCGTCCTTGCTCCTAGTAGCGATGCCAGGAGCCCCCAGTAGCGAACATTGTTACTAGTAGCTTCTTGTTCCTGGTAGGAATGGCCTCCACATTGCCTGGCCAAGGCTTGTGGCCGATCTTCCGAATTCTCAACCCGCCCGACACCCCCACACACCCCACGGACCCCACGGCTGCCTGTGAGCGGCGCCCGCAACGCGGCCGAGCCCAGCTCTGGTCCTTCCACCTCGCCGGGCAGTTCATCTCAGTGCCTTCAGCATTTCCTTCGTTGAAAAGGTCTGACGGAACAAGGGCCTTTAAAGTCTCCTTCTTCATCCAGTCCCAAAGCCATCAAGTGGGGTGGATTGGAGGTCTTAAAAAACCCTCCACATGCACTCCACCGGCCGGGAACCCTCCTGGCAGCGACAAGGAACGTCAATCTGGGAATCCCGAGCTCTCACTTCCAATCGAAGCAGCTGCTTGGAACCTCGGAGCCCCCCTCTCTCTCCATTCATCTCTTGAGATCCTGTCTTTGTCTTCATGCTGTCACAATGGCCCCAAAAATGTGCTAACATATACAGTAAAGTGTGAAACCGACGGTCCTAGTCCTACCAGATCCGGGCTTGAGGTTGAAAGGCGGTTGAGAAGGCTCACATTGGCCGTGGCTCCTCCGATCCACCAAGTCCCTTCAGTCAGGGAGCTCACAGGCTTCGAAAAGGCGCAGTCATAGCCTGAGAAACTAGCGATGCACGGGCCTATGAGACTACTAGTACTAGTAGCAAACATTGTTACTACTAGAAAGGCACCTGTTACTACTAGTAAGGCACTTGTTTCTAATAGCTTCTTGTTACTACTAGTGCTTTTTCATAGCGGATTTGATGTGAACAAAGTGTTCACACCACCTCACCAAGAAGGTTGGAGGCCATCGCTCCTAGGGTGGAGGCCATCGCTAGTACATTCGTCCTGTGTGGGACCGGTGCTTTGAGGGTGTCACAGCACCTCTTTGTTCCTGGTAGCTTCTTGTTACTAGCAGTAAGGCCAGGAGCCCCTAGTAGAGTCCTTGCTCCTAGTAGCGATGCCAGGAGCCCCTAGTAGCGTCCTTGCTCCTAGTAGCGATGCCAGGAGCCCTTAGTAGCTTCTTGCTCCTGCTCTGTTTCTCTCGCACTCTGCTCCAGACGTTAGACATGGTCCAGCATGACATTCTGTTCGACTATGACTCTCAATCCTGAAGCTCATTTGTCCAAGGCCAAGCACCTCCCGAGGAGGGCATCAACCGCTGCAGGTCTGCCAGGCGCGACCGACGATGTGCCTCAGAGAATGGAAATGGCTACCTCTGTGGCTGAATCTCGATGAATTTTGTCCAGATGTTTTATTTTTTCTCTCTCTCTCTCTCTACTAGTAACAAAGGGCATCGCTACTAGGAGCAAGAAGCTACTAGTAGCTCCTGGCCATACTACTAGCAACAAGAAGCTACTAGTAAAATTTATGTTATCCAGCTCTCTCCCTCTCTATGTGTATATCATGTTATATATATATATATGTGTGATTATATGTGTGTGTATGTATATCAAAAGCTGATGATGTGTGCGGGCTGATATGCGTTGCTGTCGGCTCATGGACTACTTAACCACTTGCTCCGCTTCCCCTGCTGGCTGGCCTCGATGGTCGAACGAAGGCTGCCTTTGCTGCCACCTGTGTGAAGTGAGGCAGAACAAGAAAAGCGACGAAGTCGGGCGCACCCTGCGAGGCCGATGGGCGAGCGAACCGGCGACCTAACTGGCAACCTGCGAACTGGCGCACTGACAGTTCGGCCTCGCCAGCCGGAGAAAACAGCCATCCAGAAGCCAGTGGCCAAGCAAATGACCTCGGCGAAAGAAAGCGTGTTCTCTACATTTGTCCAAGGAGACTGCACAAACTCATCACACAATGACTTTCACCTCTTTTGATTTGGCCGAACTTAGTGCGGCTATGACAAATCCTGGCCTCCAGTACAACCACTGCAGTTCAGATAACGATGAATCGAGAAAAGTACAGTTTCCCAAAAATCCCACTTCATCAGTGCGCCCTAAAGGGAGCTTCCTTGAAGAGCATGAGCTATCCTGCGTCCATAATATGTAGTAGTTAGCCTGTTGAGCACCTAATAGCTCGTAGCATCTAGTAGCCTACTTACCTCTTCCTATCCGCGGTCTAGAGTCTAGTACCTTTAAAGAATATCATGAGAGATCCAAAGACGATTTGTTCGCCCTCGCGCTCGCTCTGATTCGAGGCGCGCACCGCCAGCCACGTGGCAGCTACGAAGCCCACAGCGGCGGACTCAGATTCGGCCCATCTCATCACGCTCCGCCCTGACTCCCTCCGTGCCCGTTTTCTCAACCGTATAAAGTAACACCAAAGAAAGATATTGAAAATTGTATAGACAAGGAAAACTCTTTATGATCTATCTACAGCAACAAAAGAGAGAAACGCATTGCGTGTTCAAAAGAAAACTTATCGGTGCTCCGTCAGATCAGCTCTCCTAAAAAGACCCTGTGCATTCTCTGTGAGCCCCACTAGCGCACCCGAGCGGGTCGACCAAAAGCTCCGGCTCACAACACCTTCCGTTGAGACCGCGCCAAAAATGCGAACGGTAGACCTTTCTTCAATCTTCCTTTTCTTTGTCTGTGTTTCTATTAGAGATGGCCTCCAGCCTAATAGCAATGGCCTCCAACATCATAGTGGATTGGCAGTTGCCTTAAAGTGAACGTTTACCATTGATCTGCCTTTTGAACAAGCATGTTTTCTAGTAAAGAAGCATGCTCTGAAGAAGAATTGCTGTTCAAGCCCATTGGCAGCAGGTGGCGGCACCCTTGCAGTCAAAATATTCCGGACTCTTCCTTGACCGTCCCATGCCCTTCCAAACCACAGTCTCGCAAGCCTGACGCCTAGGACCTTTTAGAGTGCCCTGCTACATACCTACAGCGACAAGGTACCTGGACCTAATTTTGATAACGATCGCCTCCAACCTACTAGCTTCCAATACTAGTGCCCCCAATAAATCTCAAACAGATCGTTCGCATCCGGCCTCGGGCCGTGGGCAGCACATGCTCAGCGAAGCTGCAGCGCGGCGGTGTCACCGAGGAACTAGAATGGCCAACCGTCCGTTTTTGCCGATGGAGAAACCATGGGAAAGCAACTCTCTTCATGTTTTTTTGGTTGCGCCATGTTGCGCCCCTGCGTACCTCAGAATAGACCGGCGAACTGAGGTTTCTCAGAAGCGAAACATGCGGAGCTTCTGTCGGAGCTTCTGGCGGGAAAAGTGGGCAGTGGCCTTTCAGCCGCACTCTTGAGCAGTCCACTCCAGGACATTGTTGCATTCGAGTCTCTAATTCCATGCGGCAGAGGCATCTCTTCTGCCAACACGGCTGGCTGAATGCTAATATACCGCAAACTGAATTCCGGGCAGTGGAGCACTCCTGTTCCAGCATAATTGGATTGAGATTCCATGAATGCTGGGCAGTGCCAACAAGGAACTCCCTGACTTTCCTCGTGCGTATCTCGGGCATTGGCTGCCCCACAGTCAGACGCTCTAGTTCGTGCGATCAATTAGCATGCACCCCAAACCAACCCAAGAAAGCTGTTGGATGTTTTGGGTAAGCCTTTTCAGAAACATCTCCAAACGTCCTTTGGAGGTTTTCGGGGAGCTTTCTATTCCAGCTTTTTCGAGCACCTTTCCTCCAACCTCCCCAGCTCCGCCTCTTAGCTTCTTCAGGCGTCATGGCGCGCGTCTGGGGATGGGCAGCATGCGTGCAGTATGTTGTTTGTGCTCTTCGTTAATGTTCTTAAATTCAAAAGCAGAATGAGACACTTTGAGACAACTTTTGGACCAATATGATTATGGAAACTAAGAGCTTTCTTCCCTTGTTTCTCTTCTTCTCCTCACTAGCGATGGCCTCCAACCTAAAAGCGATGACCTCCAACCTACAAACGATGCAAAAGCCCATGGTCTAAGCAGGCCATTCATGGCCGTTCCATTCCTTACTGACTTGTGCCATTCCGTTCCTTCGTCATTCTCCATCCAAAGGGATTAGTAGTAAGGCCAGGAGCTACTAGTAGCGTCCTCTAGCTCCGTTCGTAGCGATGCCCTTTGTTACTAATAGCTTCTTGCTCCAAATAGCGATGCCAGGAGCCCCTAGTAGCGTCCGATCTCTCCTAGCTCGGTTGATTCGCATCTTGGTGATTCACCCCTTGCGGCCTGGCCTGCACTGCTGGCGATGAATGATCTCAGCAAGTTGTGGCGTTGGCGGCGTTGGCACAATGCGTTCTTTTTCAAAAATCCGAGAAGATCTTTCTTTAACTTTGGGGCATCTGGCTGGCTGTCTCCTTGCTGATGTTCTCTCGCACGGTGATTGCTGGAACCTCACACGAGAGACTGGTCAAATGGTCAACGAGGGTGAGAGACTGGGGTACCGGCTCGAACGGCAGAACCTGCAGTAGAACGGTTTGGGCATGGAAAAGCCCAACCACTCGGTTTACCGGTCGCCTTTGGTAGCCGGTTTCTAAAAATGGGATGAAAAATGAATATAGGCAAGGAATAAGGATAAATATATACCTCTGTTATAAATTTTGGATTTACCAAATATAAAATGATGCTGGACTGCACACAGGTCATCTCGGCTCCGGGCTGTTCAGCGGCTCTTGTGCTCCGATCCCATCTTCCAAGGCCGCCAGGACCTGGAGCTGGAGGTTGGGGCTGGTGGATCCACTTCGGAACGGAAGGTTGGACCGAGCAGCAACTGGGACATGAATGAATATGAATGATGTGTGATATGAATATATGGATATGATATGAATTTGTTACTTTCAAATGTGACAAGCTTCACTTGGGGGTGGTTCAGGGTCCAGGCTATAGACATTTATTCTTCATGATGTCCTCTTGATACCTCCAAAATCTCACTGAAACTCCATAGCCAGGTCGCTTGATCTTCCGACACCGCAACATGGCTGCCTGAACTCCAAGGACAACAAAAACACTAAAGTCACTAAAAGCTGCTACTTTCGTTTGCAATGCCTTTCTCAACGATGTCGCCTTCAATTGGGATGTCCAAACTCTAATGCCTTGTCTTTATCAGCTCGTCCGCCGAGTTGGCAGAAGTCCTACACAATGCCAAGGCCCAAACTGTTGGTGTTGAAGGTAGGGTCTTGTGCGCCGGTGGTGTCTTCCAAAGCGTTCAGGACCTCGGATGAGCCCTGAGAAAGCCTGGTGAACTGACTCAACTGAAGATGACTATGGCCGATGCGTCTCAGGCCACTGCAGTCTCCACGGGATCTTCACTTTTTTGCACCTCAAAAGGCAAAAGTCCTACTAGAAACTTAGTACTTAGTAACTAGAAGCTACTGGGTGGAGGCCATCGCTACTAGGAACAATAGAGCTTTTCTTTTTTAGATATCTACTAGGAAAAAGTGCAAAAAAGTGAAGATCCCATGGAGACTGCAGCTTTATTGTTCCTAGCAGCGATGGCCTCCAACCTACTTGCAATGGCCTCCACCTAGTAGCTTCTAGCTACTACATGGCTACTACATGCAACTACTCTATATACATAGTCCCTGTGAGCCAAAAAGTTCAACCCCACGCCCCCGCCTGCAGAGACTGCACTGCTTCCTTCATGGCAGCTATGACCTTCGGTGACGGGTGAAGCTCCAAAACACCTCCAGCTCACGCTGGTTGGACGAAAGATGCACCTCCTCATCCTTGGCATTCTGCGGTGGTACGCCTCGGCCATGAGATATGCGGAAGCACCAGGTGCTGAGTACGATCTTGACCCAAGGTGCAAACATTCAAAGTCCTTCCAGTTATCCCACTCAATGATGGCGTTATCCCACTCAATGATGGCGCCCCAACATGTTATTGCAGGTGGCTTTGCACTGAAAGGGGTCGAGGTTCCTCTCTGCTCTGAGTTCCTGTCTGGGCACAGGGACCTCCTGAGCCTGCCGAGAAGTGCAAATGAAGTGCAAATGAAGCCTTACTACTAGTAAGGCACTTTGTTACTAGTAGCTTCTTGTTACTACTAGTAAGGCACTTGTTACTACTAGGATCGAAACTTGCTCCACATGTTGAGACGCTGTGGATCCCTGTCGGTAGCCCTCCACCAAGACCGTCAAGGCCCAAACTCCTGGCCTGGCCCTCGCGTGACGTGGTGCCCGCAGCGCGTGGCGCCAGCTGCAACAAGGAGCCACCTTATGTGACCGTGGGCCCACAAGGGAGGATCATGTGGCTGATCATCTCTGCCCACGTCGCAAGCACAACTCAGGATTCTAGCTGGTGAGAAAATTTGATAAAGAACTTGGCGTTTGATAAAGGACTCGGCGTTTGGTTCGGCACCTTCCATACACTGCCGCTGGCAGGCGAAATTGCTAGGTTCTCTGCTGAAGTTGGCGACATGTGCTGCCTCACAACCACACCCAGTGCACAGGGCAGATCAAAGCTGAGATGAGCAAGAATGGTGGATCAGCAGTCCATCTTCTCACAGCCAAAAAGAATAAGACTCTAAGGGGGAAAGACGTAAAGGATCTAATAGCGATGGCCTCCAACCTAAGAGCGTCTGGGCCCAAACAAAGCAAATGCCGCAACTGCGCATTTTTCTGCCGACCGAAGGCACCTGAAGAGTTTTCCTAGACTCTACAACGGCTGACGTCTGATTGCTGCTCGGCTGATGCGAGACAAGTCTAGCTGGGGATACGCCCCTCGAACTTGAAGGCAAGACTGATCAATTCTCCAAATCTCGGTTCCCAAACCATCTTCTTTGGCCCCCCCTTCAATATCTTCAATGAATTAGCACATGCAGCCCGTCGCTCGAGGTATTCAGACCAGAACTGCACTGTACAGAACAGCAAATGCCGACCTCTCTTCCACTGAAACGACGACACTGTGAGCTGGTCATGCCACCAGAAGTGGCCAACCCGCTCCCACGTGACGATCGCCATTGTCTTCAGCAGCAGGGTGGGCATGCTCATGCTTGAAAACTAAACTTCGATCGAGCGGGTTCTGAGTAAACATGGGTGTGCATCTTAATAGGGACACCCCCTGGCCCAATAGGTCTTGGTCGAACTGGGAGGTCTCCCTATTGCCTGCTGACACACCCACATGCCGAAATTCGCGAATAGGGTATGCCGAAAGACCAGTGCCCTGGACAGGGTGATGGCACCAGACAGGCCGATTTGAAGCTCTTTACATGCGCCCCAAATGCTGCGGACAGTCTGCTCCCGTGCTGTAACAGGTGCAGATTCTCCCGCCTGAACAAAACCTTTGTAGCATGTACTAAGTAGCGGTAAGGCTATCTGTGCGGGTCGTTAGACCTCAACTCACAAAGACTGGCCGGCCCAGTGCCGTTGTCTTGGGCCGCCGTGGGTGACGTTGCTGCCTTTGCTCTTCCACCTCCTCGTCCTGAGGCGAGGTGAAACCATCTGACATGAACGCGACCCAACAACTCCTAGTCTGCTCCATTCATGTTGGATGTCTCGATGTCTGGGCAAGAAAATGGTAGAGGCTGATTTGGACTCTCAGGTCATTCAAAACATTCGAAGAGGAGAAGGGAAGCCCTAACCCACTCATCTACTCATATCTACTATCATCCACTCATCCCAGATCCCTCCACGGAGGTGGCCTCCAAGTCCAAGAAGGTCTTGCGAACAACCAATTTGGGCTCCTTGGCCGCGAGCAGCCTCTCCTGGAGGCGACCAGTTTCGACTCTGATGACTTGGGAATCCAGCAGCTCTCGTTCGTTTGCTTCATCGACTAGGCGCGTCATTACAAAACAATCTCCGACCACCGCCGTCATCTCCTTCCAATCAGAGACCTCTGTGCTTACAAACTTGGGTGCCACATCCTCATGAATGCCGGGGGCTCCAGACCCCCCATTCGCACGTCGGTAAGCGGTCTTCTGCAAGGGGTAGGCCTCAAACAAAGAGTGAGATCTGGAGATTAAGTGAAAACGGTAGTAGCGACAAGAAGCTACTAGTAACAAGGCACCTTACTACTAGTAACAAGAAGCTACTAGTAGCTCCTGGCATTACTACTAGTGACAAGAAGCTACTAGTAACAAGGCACTTCACCGAGTCAAGGTCAGCAACCAGAAAAGCTCCTCTTTGCTTACGGTCCGAGGTGCCTCCCGAAAGCGTTCCTGCACTTTCTCCCACTCCTGGCTGGGAGCCCACTCACGTGCAAGCTCGGCTGGACACAACCATCTACAAAGAGAAACTGGGAAGAACAAAGAATATCACAGACACCGAGGGTGATGGCAGCCGCCCATCTTTCTTGTCACTGTGGCCTTGTCAAGCCGTGACGGAGGCTTTCTACACCTACCAAATGTTCAATCTGGTTCTTGGTGTTCTAGAGTTGTCTCACTGGAACCAAGTAGTGAGTGAATCTCGAGAAGCTGCTTTGTCCGATGTCAGTGGATCAACCAAAGGATCTGAGGTGTTCAACCGAAGGATCCTGCCCTGGATTCAATTTGAAAGGTCCGAGTCCTCGCGTGGGAGGACACACTGGTAAGGCACCAGAGTCTCACCATCCAAGGAGTCCTTGGGCGAAGTTGCTGTCCAACCCTCGAAGCAACTTTCCAAGTTCCTTAATTTCCAAGTTCTTCTTGTTCTCCCTTTTGCGTCGACTTGGAGGCCATCGCCATAAGGTTGGAGGCCATCGCTGGATCGCTATAGTAGGTATACAAAAAGATGGCGAAAGACAACATTAAGCAGGTAGCCACCGTGGAAGGGTGCCGGGGACAATTTCAAACATTTCCTTAGTAGGCAACCTGCTTACCAGAGTTGCCTCAGAAAGCAGGATGTTGAGGAATGTACCTGTACAGCATCGGTTGTATACGACTTTTCCCTTCCCTTCTCCTTGTGTCTTGAGACTGGAGAACACAACCCAACTGATTTGATCAAGAGGCATAGGTGTCCACCTCGAAACCCAGGCGAGCACAGAAGGCCTTCAAGTACTCCGTGAGGTGAAACTTGCGTGTGCCAACCTTCACATGGGTTGGTAGGTGCAAAAGAGCAGCTATATAAAGACCGGGAGAAAGTCTCGCCTCCGAATTCCAACAAAAATAGAGACCCATTGGCCCATTAGTATCATCAGTATGTTCGAGCCTGATCAAAGTGGTGCTGAAATCAAAGAAGGGGAGCCTCTTGGCGACAGCTCATGTGTCTTGTGTCATGTAACCTGCGGGATGCAATTGGATGTGGCATGATATGACCACACCACCATCCTTCCCGAGACTTTCGCTCCAAGATATGCAAGTCCAATCCGAGGCGTTTTCTTAACACTCAAGGCTCAGACTCGCAGGTCCATCCGCACCAGGTCAATCCATATTATGAATCCAGGTCCATCCCCACTCGTCCCGCAGACTGCGGATCCACCCAGGGCTCCGCGCCGCTTCGAAGCGCACCCATCGCTTGAGGCCGTAGATTTGCCCCGCGTCGATCTCTGTGATGGGCTTCTCGTGCTCGAGGGCTGGGAGCAGCGGCATGCCCCGTTTGAAGCTCTGCATGGAGACGACCACATAAAAATGCTCCTGCTGGGGGCGCCGCGCGCGTTTCTTTTTCCGTCGTGAAGGCCACCAAAAAAGGCGGAGGCGAATGGCGACCCAAACACAAGAAGATTGCATGCAAAAATGCATGACATGGGGAAAGTGATGAACAATGAAGGAAATGGGTGAAGATCTCACACCTGTTTCGGAGTCAACCAGCAGGTGCCAATTACATTCGCAGTACATCAAAAACGAAGACATTCGGTCACTCCAAGGCGCGTCCACCTGCCGCAGCGCCGAAATGCCAGGTCGATTGAGGAACCAATCTGCCGTGCTCCGCGCAGTCTTCAGCACACAGCCTGGTGGCTGGCACTGTCACTGTTCTGATGAGCTGCATCTGTCCTGGTTTGGGCCTCTTTCTTCGCCATCTTCGGGAAATCTAGTTTAGACAAGCCAACAAGTCAAGGAATTACCGTCTACAGAGGACCTCGCTAAAGAGAGAGATGTAGAAAGAAATAATGGTGGCATAATCAATCTTTCTGCTTCTGCACTGTTCTGATGCATGCGCGAACATGCCAGACCTTCAGCCTTTTCTGTGGCTAGTGTAGGGTGAAAAGGGACACCTTTTCAAGCAGTGACCTGCCATGGCCTACCAAGGCAAAGGCGGAAAACCATCGACAGCGAAGGCCAAATGGATGAGAAGGTGAGGCAGGCCGAGTGCTGCTTCATGTTGTATCAAGGATCCGGCGACGTGCTGGGAAAGTTCTGCAAAGAATCTCAACAAATATGGCGTTATGCGTTTCGCTACATCTAAGCCCCGTAGGCACAGTATGGCACAGTACTACCTTTATGCCGCAGGCTTCCATTTAGAGAATTTAGAGCTACTTGTGGGTAGCCACCCATCAAGGGCTGTTGCTGAAGTCACGGAGTGATAGCTGCTTCCACCGAAGGTGCCGGATAGGGCAGGCACATCCCCACAGAGTCCGGAGCAGTCCAGAGCAAAGTGACAGCTACAAAACGGAGCAGTCGATGTGTCCCTTCTTCGCAGTGCTGGAGCTGCCTGCCGCAGAGTTTCATCTTCAAAACCATCACCAATAATAGCAGTTTGGACGACTATGAGCGGAGCATGGCGGTGATGGGGACAGCTACAGGCAACACCCAGCCAATTTCTGGCGACGTCGAGTGTCTTCTCGTGGCTTGGTCATACCCAAAGGCAAGCACCTTGCGAAGGACTACTTGACGACGAGATGAGGGTGAAGCACACTGGCGATTGACTTCGCTGGTCGGGCGCTCAACCAGCGCCACATGTCCAATGCAGTGCGAGTTTGATCAATAGCAAGGCGGTTGTCCATGCCAACTCACAGGAGCGTGTTGTCTTGGTCTGCTTCGGCGTTGTCTTGGTCTGATTCTGTGTCAAGTTTATATATATATATATATAATGACCTTGTCCTTGGTCAGTATTGCTGGCGGCGTCTAAATTCAAAAAGCAATGTTGATCGAATTTTATGGCCCTACCTCATATCAATGACGCCTCCTCGCATTGTAAACCCATGGGCTGGCATCATGTTGTTCCAGGCAAAGAGTAGTTTCCCTTGTTGTTGTTGGTGGTGGTGGTGGATTTGCTCGCTTGTTTCGCTTGAAAGATGGCTCTGATTCAAGTTTTCGTATGTTCATCCACTGGCCAAGCTGCGGCACGCCACGCGGGCCATTGAAGACAAGCGGCTGAAGTACTCGGTGGCCCAGTTGGCGAAATTATTTTCAGGTACCTGGTTGTAAAGAAAATCCAACCGAAAGGAGATCTACAAATCACAAGTCTCCAGACTGGGGCTGAACATAAAAACTTGTCAGAAATCTCGACATCTGACATTATAGGACATAAGTTGTATAAGGCTCTATGCTTTCAAGTCCCTATGTTAACAAAT